ATTATAAATTATATGTGGAAACCCAGCTTGATAGCTCCGGTGTTCCTACCCTTACCTAAAGGGATTAAATCTAATAATACAATTTTGAAAGGCTTATATCACAGTTAGGAACCACATGGTTTGTACAATAAATTAAATTTTTCTTTTTTTTGTGGGGGAGGGGGTTAGAAAGGTTGAACAGCTTCACGTCTCCGTCTGATATGATGTGAAGGGCTGGTTTCTTCACTCGTCAGGCTACGTTTTCGTGCTCGCATCATCTCGGCCAGTGCTCCAATCTCTCGAGAAATATCCGAGAGCTGATGTTCGATAGCGGTAATTCGAAGCGATAGACCTTCTTGAGTGGAATGAACGTCTTGAATCAGGTCATAGGTGTTCGATGAGGTCTGAAAGGAGATAAACTAGTTATAACTGCTTTTAAGAAGTTGTTAACAATGTTTTTATCTTTCTTATCACATTTTATTATTCAATTCACATCAAAATAAGTCACACTTGTTATTTTCCTCTTAGCTCGAAACTGATTACCGTGCCAAATGACTGAATCGCAGAAAATCTATAAAATCGTTGAAAAATCCCTGAACTTACCTTTGCCACATCTCCCAATGAGACGAAGTTTTCTGCCAACTTCCGCTGGTCGCGTTTTACCTTACGCATCCTGAAAAACGGCAAGTTATTCCTAGACCATGTCAACCCTATGTATGCCCCAGTTTAGAATTTAAAGGGTCGATCGTCTGACTTACTCATAGATAGCCACAAGAAATTTGCGTTGGTGTTGTCGTATACGAGCATAGTCGACTTTTTCAACCTTCTTTCTGAATTTATAGATCAGCCATGTCTCTCTCAGCACATTGGCAGCTGAGTGCTTTAGCTGAAAAAACAACATTAGGGTAGATATCTAAGTAAATCTGGAAGGGTTCCGATATTCTTGGTCCTTACCCTGAATTCTAGAAATAAACCCTTTTAGACCCACCTGCTTAGTTAGTTGGGTATCCATCATAAAGTTATGGACATGCTTCTCAGCTCTAGTCAACTCTAACTTCCGCGCCACTACAGCGACGACCATCGAAGAGGCACAGGTTCCCTAGAATGGATGAGTTTTCCCTCCTATTTTCTCGCTTCATTGATATCGCAAACCTACCAAGATACCCGTGATTACAGCCATTGTTCGTCCACAATTCGTATGCGGCACGATGTCACCTAAAAAGA